GGCGGGGCTCACGTGGAGAGCCTGCCCGCAGGCCGGGCCGCGCGCGCCGGCTGGGCCCGCGTCCGCGAAGCTGGGCACAAGGCGCCCGAGCGCACTGGCGAAGGGCACCGAGCGCGCCTGGCCTGTGCCGTCACTGACGCGCGAATGACTGCAAGTCACACACGGCACGCCGCCACCTACGCGAGGCACACACGGGGGCGCAGTGCTTCAGGCCGAGAGGGGAACCGGCACGCGCGCAGCCCCCCCCCCCCCCCATGAGCGTCCCCGGCGTGGAGCCCCGGGGTGGCGGCTCCAGGAGCCCCTCGGCCTGGGCCGCCCTGCCCCGCCCTGCCCCCCGCCCCCCAGAGCAGCACCCTCCTCTGAAACCCAGCCCGCGCAGCGCACCCCAGCCCGGCCGCAAACCGCTGCCCTCCGCCCACCCCTCGACCCCTCGGGCAGCTGGCTGCCACGGGGCCGCCCTCCGATGCCCGGGGCCGTCCAGCGTGTGCCCCGCGACAAGGGTACTTTCTTTACTCCGGTGCCACGGAAAACACAAGCCGGGTGTGTCAGTCTAACAGGCCAGGGCAGCGCGCGTCACAGTGTTTACCGTAATACATGTCTAATAGATCCTTGGTGTCAGTTGTATTGACGTTCCTATTAATCATTAGCATACTAATTAAATAAAATTCATTTATTACCACATTTTAGATTAGATTGGCTTTTCCCCCTTTGTGCCATCTGGTGTGTCTTCTTCCAGTACAGTCTCTTTCAAATATGCGATCTCGGGGTTATAAAACGCTCTGAAAATGTAATAACCAAGACCACAGTTAAACAAATGCCTCCAAAGGACCAGAGAATTGCCTCGCGGAGCCTTCTGATAGCAGTGACGTAAGTCAGCTGTGAGTCCGCTATCAACCATCAGGCCAGTCTGGAAGGCGCAGCATCTCTAAAACCACAGGATTCTCTAAAATGAGGGGTGAGGGGCTTACGTTCTGGCTTCAGTTCCTCTTCTCTAAACTCCTCTTATTCTTAAAATCCTCACAGATGACTAACTTAACCAATTGTCGAAGGAGAAAATGTAAGAAGATTTTAAAAAATCTTGTTCCAAAAGTACTATTTGTAGCGGGTCATAGATGTTTAAAATTTGGTCATCCCGTAGGAAATGCCGCAATAAAAAAAATAAACAAAAAGCAGAAATAAAAATCCTCTTATGTCTACATATAAAAAGAGCAACTACAGACCAGTTCCAAGCCAAAAGCAAAACACAAAGTATCCTAAACAAGGTCACTGTCACTAAATTGTCACAAAGGACCACTGAGAATGAAAATGTAATGTTGGGAATGAAAACATAATCACACTTAACAATTACTTTACTTCTCACCATAAACTTGATAAGCCAGAAAAACATCAGGAAAAATCCAGGGTCAGATAAAAGCATAAGAAAAAAAAAACTGAAAATAAAACAAAACATTCACCAGCACTTGAGCTTGAGCCCTGCTTCCCTCTCTCCCTCTCTCCTCTCTCCGCCCCTCGCTCACTTGAGCCCCCTCTCTCTCTAAAAAAAAAAAAAAAAGGGAAGGAAATATTCACTAACACTGCATTGTTTTAACAAAGACTATTTCATTGTTAGAGAATGTTAGTGGGAAAAAAAACACTTCCGGTTTGATTACTATATATTTCAACTTTAGAATTTCTATTTCAGTCTCTAAAATTTGAAGTATCACTTTTTACAGTTTTCAGTTTCTTCACGAAATATTTAAGACTGAGTTTCATCTCCATAATCATAACAGACACGTTTTATGCTGGTCCGCCTCTGGTCCGCACGTCCCAGGGCTGTTTTGGCGGTCTGTTACGTTGATGCTGGTTCTCACTCGTGTCTTCCGGTCTGTCTTTACCAGTGTTGTGGGCATGATCACTGAGAAAAGAAAAGCGCCCTGGCAGGAATAATTTGAGGCTGAGGATGACCTTTGCCCTCCTCTACGAGAAGACTCGTGGGCTTCTGCTAGGGCCTCAGGCGGACCCTAGATGGCTGGTGCACTTGATCAGACTTCAGGGTTTGAACTTCGCGAGCCCGTGGATAATTGGAAGGCTGCCCGGAATCCATACACGGGTTGCTTTCTGTCCGGTTCACTCTCACTCCTAGATGCAGCCTTCCGGTGCCGTCCCCACAGTCGGTGTTCCGTGGACCTCACTCGTGGCGTCACTGAACTCGACTGTCGGCCGCCCTTGCGCTCCGAGGCTATCACAAGCCGACTCGCAGCGACCTGTGCCCGGGCAAATGTTCCCCACGAAGCACAAGTGATCCCAGTGCCAGGCTTGTGTTCCGTAGGTCTGTCTTCTTACAGGTCTGGGCAAGGTAATTCTTTACTATTTTGTCAGTTCTTGGTGATTTTTAAAAGATTTTAAAATATTTTGTCAAGCTTTTTCAATCAATGTCAACAAGAGTGTTGTTCCAAATTACCTGGTCCACCGTTAAAGGAGGCAGAAGTGACAGTTCGAGTTTAAACACCTACTGAAGGCAGAAAAGATCATTGTCCTTTTAAAGTTTCCCAATGAATAACTAATACATTCCATTGTTTTCTTTACTTATATCTAATTCCAAAAGAAAGTATTCAATGAGTTTCATACAAATTGTATGATGATTTCATTCAAATATATATTACATAATTAACCTCCACATAATAAATATATCAGTCAACAAATATTTATTGAGCATTTACTATGTGCCAGTCTCATTTAGGTTCACCAGAAAGAAACAAAAAACTTCTGTATCCTTATGATGCTTATATTCTAGTGATAATAGATTCCAAAACTTACACATATAAAAAGGTAGATGACATGGTATATATTGGCATATCATATTAGAAGGTGGTGCATATTATGGAAAACAGCAAAGCTAGGTAGGAGATTTGCAGTCAAGACAGAGAGAAGAGTTATAGCTTTCTCCAGAGTAGCCAGAGTAGACTTCATTGAAAAGACGACATTTCAGCAAAAACTATAAGGTGGGGAGGGAGTTACCCATGTGTAAGTCTGGAGGCAGAAGGAGCAGCCAGCAGAAAGACCCTAGGATAAGATTAAGTCCATTCTGATCATGGAACATCAGCGAAGCCTATGGCCAGGGTGCAGTTAGAGAGGAAGAGGAGGGATGGATGAGTTACGAGAGATGGTGGGGAAGTGAGGTCACAGGGCCTTGGGGCCGTTGTAAGAACGTCAGCTTTCCCTCTGAGAGCCCTAGGGGGCGCTGCGCTGGGCAGAGAAGGGCTTTGACGCTTCTGGCGGAGGTGCTAAGGAGGGTGGAAAGGAAAACGGGAGAGCAGCTAGGAGCCCCGTGCAGGAGCACAGGAAACACATTATACCGTCTCCACGGAACTTCGGATGTATTTTCAAGGTAATATTAATGACATTTTGACAGATTACACGTGTACTATGAGAAAAAAAAAAAAAAAGGATGCAAGCATATTTCCCAAGATTTTTGACCTGAGCAATCAGAAAGATGGAACTGTCATCTATTGAGAAGAGGAAGGCAATGAAGAAAGTTAGAAATGGAATTTGTGGGGGCGCCTGGGTGGCTTAGTCGGTTAAGCGTCCGACTTTCGCTAAGGTCATGATCTCGCGGTTCATGGGTTCGAGCCCCGCGTCGGGCTCTGTGCTGACTGCCGGCTCAGGGCCTGGAGCCTGTTTCAGTCTGTGACTCCCTCTCTCTCTGACCCTCCCCTGCTCACGCTGTCTCTCTCTCTCTCTCAGAAATAAATTTTAAAACCCCCCCCAAAAACTAAGGCTGACGCTTCGGAGTCTGTGTCTCCCTCTCTCTCTGACCCTCCCCTGCTCACGCTGTCTCTCTCTCTCTCTCCCCTAGAAATAAATAAAAAATATTAAAAAAAAAAAAGTTAAAAAAAAAAAAAGAAATGCAATTTGTGTTGTGTCTGACATGCCTACAATGAAGACAGACACCCAAGCCGGACACGTGAATCAGAAGATAAAGGTGAGAAATCTGAAATAAATATATAAGCTTAAGACTCTTAAGCTAACAGTTTATTTTTAAGGCCATGAGACATGATGAGATTCCCAAGGGAATAAAAATAGAGGAATAAAAGATGTCAAGGACTGGGATGCCCAGGTGGCTCAGTCGGTTAAGCATTCGACTCGTGAATCAGCTCAGGTCACGCTCCCAGGGCCACAGGACTGAGCCCACAATGGGCTCCATGCTGGGCACGGAGCCTGCTTAAGATTCTCTTTCTTCCTCTCGGGCCCTACCCCCTCATGTACACATGTGCACACTCTCTCTCTAAAATAAACTTTTAAAAAAGATGCCAAGGACTGAACACTCAAACATAAGAGGTCCCAATATCATCCTATATGTTGATTTTGGAGAGTTAAAGGAAAAGCTGAGTGGTGGTGGATAAGAGAACCGTTTGAGGACAATGGAAGAGAATATATGAAATCGGGAAAACAAAGGAAATGTGGCCAATAATTATTTACCTTTCGAACCACCCCTCAACAGGTACCTTACCTCTTTCCACACAGCTCTTCTATCTTCCTGGAGTTAGAAGCAGATGTCATCTATCAGTACCCCACGCTTCACAAACTGTTTATAACACACAGACTTTCAGAATCAGCAGGTGCAGAAGCTACAGAAAGTAAGCTCTCCTCCTGTGACACCGCAGCCACTGTGAAACCAGCCCTGCGCAATACTGAGATCAGGATGAACTTCTCTCCGACATCACCCCAGTTCCCTTTCTCTGCCCCTTCTTCCAACCGGTGGCTCCAAATCAGTCACAGCATCCTCAAACGACCCACAGCCTAAAACTTCTGAAGCCCCCACCTCCTAACACATCGCTCCTCTTCATTAACACTTCTCTGTTCTCTGTCTTGGGATATCACAGCCTTACACTGGCGAGCAAACAAAGGTCCTCTTATCTGGTAGGAATATGTCGGACAATTTCTCTTTGAAACATTCACACTCAAAAGCTGCTTTCCAAACAACCAAACTGACGAATGTGAATGAAGTAGGGCATTTTTGGAACAGTGGCAAAGCTTCACCATAGAAATGAAAGGAGGGGTAAGAACACTCCCACCTGAAGAGATCCTGCTTCAGCTGTTCACGAAGAAGGCTACTAGTCACCCTGGCCAGCAGGAGACTGAGCCGTCTCCCTACTTAATGTATCCGGGGTCATTTTAGCTTGGGATTTCCTGTGGGCACAATGAGACTACCTGATAAGCAGTGAGCTTGCATTATGAAACAGAATACCAGTTAACGTACACACTCATTTCCTATAAATATTAGGTTGACCATGTGAAACAGCCTTTCTGTAAGTCAAAAACCATCAAATACTGCCTTTTCATTTGGTTCAATCCACTACACACGTACATATTTAATACACAGACATAATTATTTTGTGGTTTTGTTAACAAAATCTACCCATTTCTTTTACCATTTGTGACTGCATAATTTTGTTGTTATTGTTAACAAAAATTACTCATTTCTTTTACCATGTGTGATTGAATTATCATTGGAGACATGTGTGTCCTTATGAATGAACTCACCCAAATGGTCTCTATGAAATGCCTTCTGCCACTAATACAACAAGGAGTCTTAGTGCTCATTATTTAAGGCAGGAAGTCTACCCCAGGCTGACTGTCGCCTGTCAGATTCTTGGTGACACTAAAAAGCCCTTCTTGAAATCCTGTTTGACCTTTTCAAGCCCATCTCATAAAAGCAATTAATGTTCTCATCGTAGGAGCAGTAAATTTAACCTCTAGATTTAGGTCCCTTTCTTAGTTCAAATTATAACATAAACCTTAAGCTCAACAATGTAATTTTGCTCCTTCACTAGAAGGATGTTTGCTTTATGGGTCCTTGTAGCATGTTTTACTGAAGAGGAAGGCACTGAGTTTGCATCTCAGCTCTACCCCTTAGCAGATATATGAGCCTGGTCCAGCCTCTTGTGACAGACCCTGTCTACACGCTCATCACGCCTGTGTCCTCTTCTGCCTGGAATCACCTAAGTACCAGGCTTCTTTGAAATTAGGTGTGGCCATATTACCAAGTCCTTGCCCATGAAATATGCGTGAAAGTGATGTGTGTCATCCCCAGACACAGCAGTTTAAAACAAGCACTCCTCTATACATTCACTAATTTCAGCTCCCACCAGGGGCAGAGGATCCCAGGGTGGACCCTGGAGCCTAAGGATGGCAGAACCATTGGACGGAAAGAACCTGTACTCAGAAGGCTGCATGGAGCAGAGCATGCTCTCCTGGGCCCTCATTTCATTGGAGAGAACTAGACCTTGACTGTGTTGGACAACATGACGTTGAAGTATCAAGAGCAGTTAGCCTAACCTGTCAGTTAAACTCCCTAACCTTTTATTTCCTCATCCGTAAAGATGAAGATAATAAAACCCACCTTATAGGGCTGATGTTAGGATTAAATGAGGTAACAAATGTAAAATGCTTAGCACAGTGTTTGGCATGGAGTAAGGCTATATAAATGCTGGCCACCTTATGTTACCATCATCATCATCACCATCATCATGATCACTACCTCATATATAGTTGGAACATTTTCTATACCTCTGAAAAGAGCCCAGGGTTCCAAAAATAATTGTTTGGCAGTCTCAGCGGGCAGCATACTTCCAAGACCCAATATCTGACCCATGCAGTCTAGTAGCAGAGCTCATGGGATATTGATAATTTTATTTCTGGCTCCAAACAGTGTTCATTGGATAAGGTTAGACTTTTTAATGCCTACCATTTACTGAATAATTAAAGTCATTATTTCCAGGTGCTCTTGGGCATGCAAATGTGTAAAATCCTCTTAGAGATACCATCTGATATAACTTACTTGCTATAAATCACATGTGTAGCAAGAAAGTCCTTACATACCATGCACACTCTCTCTATATATAAGTGCTTGTGGACTAAGACATTTTTTTTTTCAGCCTCAAGTAACCTAATCATTCCCTAAAATTTTTGCTTACCAGCTGCTTTTTTCAATGAAACACTATTTGTCACTTTGATTAGCATCGACAGAACACATCTACTTTTCCAAATGCAGGTTCCTCGACATCATGAAACCACAAACTTGAATTTACAACAGTATAGACTACAGCACTGGAAGGCAGGTTTTGGAAAATGCATACACATATGCCAGCTTCAAAAGCAAATGTGGGTATTGATCATTAAATACAACTTTATAAGTTATACAACCAGTTCTTCCAAAGGAAAAGCATCATTTAAAGCAGATTTTGAAAGAAAAAAATAGATATAAAGCTCCATACAGAAAGCCTTCTTACACACTCTCCAAAAATTCTCTAAAATCATCTTAAATAAATAATATTACTTTACATTTAGTCGGTTAAGCATCCAACTTTGGCTCAGGTCATGATCTCACGGTTCGTGGCTTCGAGCCCCATGTCGGACTCTGTGCTGACAACTAGCTCAGATCCTGGAGCCTGTTTCGGGTTCTGTGTCTCCCTCTCTCTCTGACCCTCCTCTGCTTATGCTGCCTCTCTCTCTCTCTCTCTCTCTCAGAAATAAATAAAACGTTAAAAAAATTTTTTTTAAAAATAAATAAAATGTCTTCTCTTCACCTCTTTGGCCAACATCCCCAAGTACACACTAGAGTCCCATACTTGAGTTGAAGCCATTCAGAATATCAAGAATCACAGGCTTTCTTTACATTTATCTAACCTACTTAAATCTAAGCTTAGTAAGCAACTGTGTTTTGTTTTGCTACACCTTTTTCCAAAAGTGAATTAAGGTGGTTTATAAACACATGTAGGAGAAATTACTTATGGTGAAATTAAACAAAAATACAGAGGAAATTAGAAGGCAAAAGGAAATAGGGAAGAAAAATAAAGGGAAAGGTTGAAAAAAGCAGCAAATACTGTGAACTTCTAACCACTTTCTCATTAGCCACACATTTTGCTCTGAGCTTCCTGGCAACCAGAGCAAAATGAGACTCATGATAATGATTCACAAATCATTCACAAATGATCAGTCACATAATTCACAAAGTTTATAACTATACTATTGTGAACAATGCCCCAATTAATATCCTTACACAAAATACAATATTTTCACAGGGCTTTTTATTTCAACTTCCATAAATATAAAAAAAAAATTAAAGACCCAACAGGACAAATGTCAAAATAAAAGGTCATGTTACTTCCTAATGAGTCTGTGGAAACTCTTGGGCAAGGCCAAGATTATGATGCTTTTATTTGTGGAGGTAGGTAGAACAGGATTAATAAGAGCTTCCTACAGAATTGATTTTGGGTAGTTTTTGAAGGATTTACAAACTAATGTTTCCAAATGAAGCATGAAGGAAAACTATATGAAAACCACTGATCCAAGAGTGATTCATAAATTGAAAGCAGGACTTGAAGGGAGAATCTGGTTGAGGGACAGAGGGAAGGAAGAAGGAAATAGAAGGTACGTGCTCTTATTGGGATGCACGGGCAGGGGAAACATAATGGAAGGTCTTTAAGCACTCATATCAGTACTTGGCTTTTGACTCACTGGATAATGAGAGCAAAGAGATGGACAACAAATATAATGTGAGAGTGTGGTTGGTGAGCCATTCTAACCGAAACCCACCAATAACTGAATGAGTAAAATCAGGGGGAAAAGACCCATATGTGAGAAAGCTTTCATGATCCAGCTGAGTTTGGCTCTGTCATCGGGACCTCCCTTCCCCATTAGTTTGTGGGCTCATGAAGAGGCAGATGGGGTAGAGAGGAGAGAGAAGAGGGAGGAAGGACTGCCAGAATCTTCCGTCTTATTTATCTGTATTCACAGTATTCAGTGCAACAAGGAGATGTAGCTGACAGTCAGTTTTAGTTTGTTGTTAGAAAAAATACAACATCCAATTTGTTCAGCTGAAATAATTTATGGAGACTTAGATTTTCTAAATGAGTGGAAGGTAAGGTAAGGAAAAGGAGGCATTAAATATCACCCCAAATACTAGTACTGGAAAACAATAAGAGTGATGTTTGGGACCAGGAAGGGAGGTATTGAGCAGTTGTAACTACAAAGCTCTTTGCCGTGCTGTTTTTGTTTTTGTAATTTATATTTTATTTAGTTCTGAGAGACAGAGAGAGAGTGCATGAGCAAGCAGGGGAGGCTCAGAGAGAGAGGGAGACACGGAATCTGAAACAGGCTCCAGGCTCTGAGCTGGCTCTCAGCGCAGAACCCAGAACCCAATGCGGGGCTCGAATCCACAAACCGTGAGATCATGACCTGAGCCGAAGTCGGTCGCGTAACCAACTGAGCCACCCAGGCGTCCCTTTGCCATGCTGTTTTGAGTGGCAACAATTCACCCAAGAATGAGTACTCTTGTGACAAATAAATGGATACACACTTCAACAAATAGAAAAGAATGATAGGTTAAAAAGCATAATGACCTCTAAGTAGATCATAGAACTTACTAAAAATAAAACTTATTATTATTATTATTATTATTATTATTATTTGGAGCTTATTAAAAATAAAGTAAAAATGTAAAATAGCAATAAAACTTGGTTTAATGGAAGGAACACTTGTTTGGGAGTCCCAAGACCAGGGATTGGATCTCAGCTCCAATGCAATTTCTCTGTCTGACTTCTGATAAGTCACTTTATGTCCAGGTCCAGGTTTTTATTGACTAGAAATTGGGAGTGAGGTGGACAAGCTCAGGGGTTTTCAAACTGTGCTCTGCAGACCCCAGGTGTCCTGAAGGAAACGTGAGGCCAAATGGGCCAGGCCTGAGCATGGTATTAGCAAATTAGATTCACCCTAACCTTTTAGCTATAGCTATTTAAAAAGACTTCCATGCATGGATTCTTTAGAAAAGAGACCTACTACTTGCAAAAAGCTAGAAAACCATACGCTACACAATCTCTGGCATCCCTCACACCTGTCATA